CGTATATGATTTCGTGTCATTGACTCCTATATCAAGTTTTTGAAAGGTCGAGGGTAGAGAAAAATCTTTAAGAGGCCGGGGAGCAGCCATTTCCGGAATTTCCGTTTCCTTGAACGACTGAAATACTCTTAAATCCACAGTGAGTGCATGAACTTTCTCTCGAAATCTTCTAGTTTTCCCCCTAATCTTTCTCCTTTCGAAAAGAACGAAGCGTTATGATTATGTATTGAAAACAAAATTATTGATCCGAATATATCCGATCTAAAATGCGGTATACATTTGCTATATACAGCAATACCTCGTATAGTCCGGATTCCGCAAAATAAAAATAAATTCTAAAATATATTATACATAAAGTGAAGTTTTTGTTTGCGGTTTTATAGTCCTAGTCCAGTTTCAAATAGTTTTACTATATTCCAATTTTTTAAATAAATACCAATAATTATATTATATTCAATAATATTTTACAGAAGAGGATATTTATTAGAGTAATAAAATTTACTACAACAAGTATTTAGAGAAAACACATGACTGAAAGATGCTGAAATTATATCACTATTTAATTATATTATTTACTTCATTTTAAGTTACCTTGACTATCGTAAGCTGTGAATTTAGGTAATATTTTAGCTTGAGTAAATTTGGATAGAAAAGTCAATTTTCTTCATAGATTAATTTGTACAATGTGGAATATAGTTGATCCAAAAGTTACACAACAATATGATATAATAAAAATACGCATGTAAACCTATCATTAGTGATTTGATTTTCCAATTGCTGCAAATGAATAACGTGAATTCGTAAAATAATTACCAAATATTGCGTAACCGAAAACGAACATTGTATTGAATATTATTCTACCCACATAGCATATATATCACGTATATACGTACATTTTTATTTGTATCAATTTCGGTTTTCCAATATTTACAAAAACATAATTGAAACCAGAATTATATTTTCAGTTATTCCAATAATCGCATATCAACATTTGTATTGAAACCGTTCCGCTTTCATTGATATGACAGTATTTTCAATCTCTAGTCTGCGTACCATTTTACATTTAGTGCATGATGGCACGACTGCAAAAGATAAATTGCATCGAAATCATTATCATGTGGTGTATTTCAAATCGCATTTCAATAAAAATGACGTTCATCCAATTTAAATTACATACACAATTATATATAATAAATAATATTTAAAATTATGTATGGACACATGGTATTTTATCATTAATTAGTTATAATCTATTTGAATTTGTACGCAATTAAACATAATTAATAGTATTATAATCCAATTTATATCGTGTTGCATGATTATGAAAATGGTTTTTTATTCAATTAAACTTTTTAAAAACGTGTATACAGAAATACCTATGTTTGAAACAGCACAAAAAGAGACTTGTCTTAACAATCCGATCAATTATGTAAATAAATAAAAAAACAATGTACAATTTTTGCTCAATTAAATTTGAGTATGTTTTGAAATTTAAAAAATGTGAATCCGCACTGATTGAAACCGCACTATGCAAGGCAGTGATGCATTATTTTAAATGCAAATGTCTGTACAGGTATCCCCGACTTACGAAATCCCGGACTTACGAACAAAATTCTAAAAGTTCTAAATTGTTACAAGGAGATATATAGTGATATGAAAATTAACTGTCCAAACAAGAATTGATAATTTCTTTAATAAAATATAATATTTTTGGAAAATGTACATTCTGTTTTGTTGCATTTATTTATTTGTCGTTTTTTATTAAATAATTGTGAAATAATTGAAAAGTGTTTGTAAGTATTTTATTTATTTTAATATATTTTTTCAAATGTATGCTGTCAGTAATACGAAATTTAACATATATAAAAGTAAAAACCATGATAAAGTATGGTAAGATAAGTATATTTTGAATTTTTTTAAATTCCCCCGACTTACGAACAAACCTATGGAACGGAACTAGATCGTAAGTCGGGAATCTGTATATTTACCAACAACAAATAATTGATAATCGATGCAAATAATTTACTAATATATTATAATTATGTATAAATAGAATTGTGTGTGTATAAATAAATATATAATTATAATTATTAATAGAAAATTTTACTGTTTTGCAACAAAAATATCAGATAAAAGGAAATATTTTATTAATTAATTAACCTAGTAAAAAAGTTTAGAAAACCACAAAAACAATCAAGTAAAAAATCAAAATATATGTTTTTACATTAAGTCTAAAACTAATTAAGAATTGTGATAAATTATTATTAGAACTAAAAAAAGTATTGAATACTGTAACACAAACAAGATTTCTATTACAAAACAAATAATACAGCAAATTCAAAAACTTGACAATGAATTGTGTAAGAATAAATACTACATTGCTTGTGTTCTTTTATAAATACTCGAAATTTTACAGACTACCAAAAAATATGATCCGTTATAAACGATATGTTTTTTTTCTTGTGATGTAATAACAGAAGCAAAGTCCAAAAGTATCATTATATATTGATTTTTCTACTGCATACATTTTTTATTTGTCATCGAAGGTCGGCGCTTTTGGGTAAATAAAATAATGCCATTCATATAAATCTTCGTGGCGTTGGCAGATATTCAATAACTCGGTGTCGGTAATAAATAATACCAGTCAATCAAGTCTTCGTATGGCTCGTAAAGGTTAGTTGTTCCGACCGTTAAAAATCCTCCATGAATGAATAGGATATTGTGCGTGGCTCGTTATTAAGATCTCTCCTCTCTATTTCAAGTTTAAATTCTTAAAAGGAGTGTTTATTGATTGTGCGTTTGCCTTCTATATTTACTTTGCAGTGATCTTGATTGACACTCCAATTTGGCCAGCAAGATTGATAACTTTCAACGAAATCCTTGGGAACTACGCGAAATACGTTTTTTTTCCCAATACATACTTAGCTAAATGAAACCCGTCGGAATTTAAATTTCGTAGAAAGATACGTATAAGGATTCAAATGATTCATCACGAATAACTCCATTAACATATATTAAATAAAGCCGTTTATAATTATTATTAATTAATTAAAAAAATAATTAAACAACACATATAATCGTGCAAATGCAGACAAACTATGCTTGTTGGAATCCAAGTATAACAAATTAATAATAATAACAAACAACTTCTTGTTTAATGTTAAAATCGTTATAAAATATACTGCTACCACCCACGAAATTCAAATGATTTTATTGCAGAATGTCTGTTATTTCATTGTTTCAATATTATTCGAATATGCATAAAATAACAATGACAATTTAACTTTAATTAAACTGTTTTATTTACACAATGTGACGAAACAATGTGTATTTTAGTTCAATTATTGACAAAATGGACAAACATCAATAAAACGAATACACACATTTGGTAATTCGAATAAAAAAAGAAAAATAAGTTTCAATTTCTATAATGGTTACATTCAACTTTATTTTGTTTTGATACTACCATCAATTTCTTTTCTAATACCAACGTAACATTAAACAAAATAAGTCAACACTTATAATAACATAACAGTCGAATTAAATAGAATGATGGGTATTTAATTGAATATTCGATTTATTCCTTCTTTATTCTATCTTATAATTGGGAAACCCTTTATTGCTTTTCAATTAACTGGCACACTATTTATATAACATGAATGAGACGTCAATGAAGTCATATAAATGATTACACAGGCTTTTATTTAAGTCAGTTAATTTAATATAATAGATTAATATAATAATATCATATGCCTATTTTTATTGCAGCAATTATTATACAGTATTATTGTATTATGATAGTAAGTAACGGTTTTCAAAATAAATTAGTTTAAAAAAAAGACAAAATTAAAACCATTGAGTGACATTTTTGTATTTACTTTGAGACATTCCAAAATATAAGTAAAAAAAACTTCTCTAATTAACACCTTGGTTATATAAAATAAATCAACATTTATCATAAGTATGCATTTAATTTAAATTGAACTTGAGAAATCAAATTTTGCCAATTATTAATATTTAAATCTAAATTAAATGATTATGCAAACAACAATTAGTCAGTTTAAGTGAGATGATGGATATGACGTATACAAATGTATTAATGATGAACAGATTAAATTCCGAACAATAAGAAAGTTGCATTAAATGCAATAGTTGTTTCAACGCCAAGCTATCTAAAAGGCTATGACATAAGTTATCGCACGTAATTTATATAAAATTTATTTTTAGATTTTAAAGAGGATACCAGATGCAAAAATGCAGTCATTCAGTATGATTCAAGTCGTTCGTTCATTTTCTTCTGCGCATAGAAATCGAGGTTGAAAAAACTGAAATTTTACCATCCGAGACACATCGACTTCTTATCGTGGGCAACGCTGATAAACACAGCGTGTCCCAGTTGTGGGCTTTTTCCTCGGCCACGGTTTTAATTCATTAAGACTATAAATAAAAGAGCGCCGCAGTCGCGTGACCTTGCGTGGGATATCAACAGTATTGGAAATCTGGACCGTAAAGTAAAATCCATATTGGATTTAACGCCGGTTGCTCATGTTACCAGCAATTTAAAATTACGTCAATTTTATGGGATTCCCAAAAAAGTCATATCATTGCAACAAACTTTTTCTTGTAGGATTATTAAGTTTAATTTGAATAATGTTTATAATAACCTTAGATAATATTATTGCAGATCTTTTTCATTTAGAAAAATTTGTATATTTATTTCATTTATTTATTGGTATAGAAATGAATGTATGTCGTATTTATCAAAATAACTGTAAATATAAATAAATTTAGTTTGGTAAGTGTTTGATGTGCAAGTGGGTGGTTGGAAACAAAAGACCTGCGTTATTAATAGTTATTAGGTGGCAAGCTTCTCCACCGCAACCTGTTCCATGAATAAATGCCATTGCATTAAAGTGCGACGAACGGGAATGGGAGGTCTGGGAGGGATGAAAGGGAAAGGAGGAAAAGAAGCGGCGGTGTGGGAAGGGACTCTCACTCACCTTTTCCCGTAGCATGTCCCTTGTTCTGGTGGCCTGGGTCCTACTGCGGTGCAACTCCAATTGTAATTCCAAACATTTTTCCTGCCAATTAACACCTGCAGATGAGTGGTGTCCCCCGGGGTCCATCAGGGAATCGAAGCTGGCCAGCGGTTGCATCTGCGACTGCTGCGAAGACGTCGCATTGGGATCACGGGCGCGTCGCGGTAACAGTCTTGGACTAGTCGGAGTAGAACGCGATTCGCGAGTCAATTCGCTAAGTCGCGAGAGCGGATCGAAAATTTGACTTAGCCGGCGCGGACTGTTCGCACCTCCGCCGTCTTCGCCCATGACGGATGATCGATGGATGGTGTTGATTGATGGTAGATGGCTGGATACTAAGTCCAAATTCTCAATCACTGTAGATCACACAATTACAGAACACTTTCGCCGGAACATCCGGAACGACCGAGACGCGCTCCTCTTTTACTCCCCCTTGCTATTTCTTTTCTTATTACTTCTTTTCTTCTGTTTCACACAGTGCGAACGCGTTCAAGTCTATTGTGAGTTGGAAGCATACTGAGGCTGGGATCCTCTCAGTGTTTAGAGCCAATGAACTCCCGTAATAGAGAAGGTCGCGTAGTCGTACTTAAGACTGAGCAAATGAATACTAAACACAGAACTCTCTCATTCATTCACGTGCGTTTTGTAATAAAATGCATTTACACTCGCGAACGCGCATTACTTCAACATTTAAAACAAAAAACTCTTTTCATTTCACTTAGCCTCTTTCACGCATGAATGCATGCAATAATATAACAACAAAATATTCAACAGAATTTGACTCTCGTGTAAATTACTAAATATAGAATTTCTTAATAAATATTTTTTATATATAAATTTATATAAAATTTTAACATGAAGACTTCAATGGACGACGCGGTTAACTGGATTTTTTTTATATTTTTTTTTTACTTCTTACATTACTTCATCGGTAATCTGAAACAAAAGAAAAGAAAATTATTAGAGCGTTTCAAAATGAGACTTTACCTAAAATATAATTTAAATGAAATAGTCATCTTCTTACGCCCCACGCTCTTACCGTACGATCTTCCTTTTTATTGCATCTCCCTTAGCAAAAAAAATGAAATAAACGAGAGAGAAGTATTACAAGACGGATAGCATTTCATACTTTATGTAGATACATTTGCATTTAGAAACGCGTTGTAATTTGAAATGTGTAGGACATTTCATCACGGACCACCTGAACCCCCTGGAAATAGGGGAAAAATGGGCCACGCTAAATAATGTGTCCGATTAAGCTTATCGCTTATCTCAACCCCCGTATATATTCTCCTTTTTTTGCCTTTCTCTCTCTCTCATACACACTCTCTCTCTCATTGTAAGTTTGGGTCGATTCCAAACCCCTGTCTCCTATCTCTGGCCCAGTTGTTTATATATCTCGGCCGACCCCCTTCTTCTGCACACCCACTTCCGGTTGTTTCATCGCGAATTTTTTAAACTTATATCTCTATGTTACCTCATTTTCCGCCTCGACCAGGTATCACCTCCCCAAAAAGGGGGAGATTCACCCGGCGAGATAAAAATCGAAAAAGTAAAATTGAAAGGGGGAACACTTTAATTTTTACTGCAGCTCCAGACGAAGCGGACGTCTCGGAATGCATTAGCTTAAAACGGAAGTACTTAAATATATATATGTGAGTGTCTGTATACTCAAGAAGAGGTCTCTTTTATTTCTATTTCTATTTATTCCCGTTTCATTTCGCTTCTTTTTTTAAAGTCTGCGACATAAGCCACCCCGAGAGCTTCACGAATGATGATTCCGACGGATTTATTTCATCTCTTCCCGTGAGTATGTGTTTTCTAATCCTGAGCAGACATTTAATATACGTCTTCTTCTCTTTCCCGGTTTCCGGTTTTTCTTCACCCGCATTTTCTTTTTCTTCTTCTTCCTCCACTTCGGCCTCCTATTTTTTTTACTTTAATTAAACTACCCTCGTTCGTCCCTCGCATTTCAGACGAGCTGGGAGGTCGTCGAGTCCACCTTTTTTACGAGCAGCCATTTGGCGCCAATCTCATCGAAACTGCAATATTCCTCGATCATATAAATACATCCCATATGCAAAATGCCTTTTTGTCACGCACGGTCTCGTAAATTTGGGATTTTCTGATATTTTATGGCATCGCACGCGGTAAGCCTCAACTCGCAATGCCGTTACGATAACGCCCTTTGTGACCGTGCCTAAAAAAAGGGAGACTCGAAAAAATGCATCTTTATCACAATTTTACCAGCAAAAAAATGCAATATTTTTCTCACCAAGTGTATAACTTATATTCTTTCTTATATTCTATATTTAAGTAATTTGAAAAAAAAATTACAATATCCATAAAAAGTAATTAGTCATTTAGGATATATATTTATCAATAACATATATATGTTCAAATAAAATTATACAAACTTGTACCTTTTTTTTTAATATTATTGATTTAATCTATTTTTGGCGAAATTATTGAAAATTGTATTACCTATAAACAGTCAATTAACTTGTAAATGGCTATTGGCTGCATCATTTTCATAATTTAATGATATATCTATACTTTACAATAAAATATTTTATGGTATATACATTTAAAATAAAAATACATTATAATTTTATTTTGTGGGACATTATAGCAATTATAATTTATTGAAATCATTACTATTTCTGTAGTAAAGTGGAACAGATACCAGAATCAGCAAAATTTGCATACTTTTATCGCTATTCGAAATATATTTAAAGAGGCAAAGTAATTAAGATCCCAGACGGTGTTGCTGCTATATTTGCTTTCTAGCAAATTCGCTTTTCAGTGTAAAGCAATTATGAATTGTGCACAAAATCCATGCCCGAACGCCCTTGAAGGGACGGCAAGTAATCTATTTTTAAACCTGATCAACACTTTAATGGCGACACAGTGTGCACTCAACCCGAGGGCCAGTTACCCAGATGATATTGGATCAAAATTAATAAACGGAAGCGAATTTGATTTCATTATAGTTGGTGCTGGCTCTGCTGGCTCCGCAGTAGCAAACAGACTATCAGAAAACCCGAAATGGAGAATTTTAGTTTTAGAAGCAGGCAAATATCCATCAGCAAGTTCCGAGGTACCTGCTCTGTTCCTGTACATGAAGCACACCGCTGAAGATTGGCAATACCAAACGGTAAATAAGTATGCATGCTTGGGTTTGGCTAAAGGTTGCATATGGTCAAGAGGCAAAGTCCTTGGAGGAAGCTCAACTATAAATGGCTGTATGTACGTTAGAGGGAATCCACTTGCGTATAACAATTGGAACGATTTGGGTAATAAAGGTTGGGGCTGGGATGAAGTTCTGCCGTACTTCAAAAAATCTGAGAATACCACAAGAGAATCTTATAGAACATCACCTTTGCATGGTACTTCCGGTTACTTGACAACAAGCTACGTAAAATCAAATTCCTACGTGAAAAACATGTATATGGAAGGAGCGAAGCAAGTAGGGATGCTTATATCAGATGATGAACCTTCCTTAGGTTACTACGAAGTTTTAGCGACTATTAGAGACGGTAAGCGTTGCAGTGCTTCAAAAGCATATTTAGCTTCTGCAGCGAACAGAAACAATCTATTCCTAGCAACCGAAGCGGAAGTTGGACAGGTTATTTTCGACAAGACGACAGCTAAAGGTGTTCTGGTGAAGATAAATTCAAAACTAATTAACGTGTATGCCAAAAAAGAAGTGATCCTGTCGGCCGGAACAATTAAGTCGCCGACAATACTACAGAATTCCAACATCGGTTTAAGGGAAGATCTAGGTAGGAAGCCGCTCGTTAATTTACACGTCGGTAGGAATCTTTTGGATCACCTTGCTATTTTTACTCTCTTTATTACGCTAAATGACACCGCTTCAGAGGCTGATGAGCCAGATAGGATTTTCGATTACTTTACAGCGAATAAAGGATCCTTGTCAAATATTGGAGGTTCAAACTTCGTTGGATTTATAAATACTAAAAACAAGAATGCGAAGATAGCTAACGTGCAAATATTCAACACGTTTTATCCAAAAAATAGTCCAGATATACATCGAGAATTGGAGATTATTGGGTTGGATACGATTTCCACGAAAAGCATATTAGAAGCCAGTACTAAATCTATATTATGGCAAGTTGCTCCCGCTATTTTAAATCCAAAATCCGTTGGTACATTATTAACAAAGTCGCTTTTTGATGCGCCAATTATAAAACCAAATTACCTGCAAGATGGTAGGGATATAAGAACGTTACTGGAAGCTGTCAAATTCATTAAATCTCTGATACAAACCAAAGCTTTTCAGCGAGCCGGAGCAAAATTGTTCATTATGAAAAGCCCATATTGCCTTCAGGACGCATCCACAGATAGCTATTGGAGATGTCACATTAAACACTACGCTACAACGGCTTATAACCCGGTTGGAACGTGCAAAATGGGCCCCAAAAATATTGCGACTTCAGTTGTAGATTCAACACTTAAAGTCCATGGATTAAATAGAATAAGAGTAATTGATGCCAGCATTATGCCTACTATAATCCCAGGAAATACCAACGCTCCGGCAATGATGATCGGGGAAAAAGGCTCGGCGTTCATTAAAGAAGATTGGATGTGAATGCTGTATTATTTGTTTTGTTTTTTTGTTCTTTCCATTTAAACACTTTTGACAAACCTTTATATTTAATTGAATATAGAGCAGTAATAAAAACGAAACATTCTAATTGATAATAGAGTTTTATGTGGCAATTAATATAAGTGATTAATATATCCTCTTTTTTTAGACTAAATTTAATTAAAGCTCCCCAGGGATTATTAAGTTAACTTTCGTCCCATAATTAAGCAATTCGCAGTCGTCCCTCATGTGCTGTCCAATAATTCAGAAGCCATGGTCTGCGCCGGCCACCAGAATATTAAATTTCTAACCGAAGAACATTTTTAATTAGCAATTTTCGGAATGGGAATTAAGGGAGGCAATTTAAAAGGCCGGCGTCACCGGATATGATGGCCATCGCTGGACCGGAAATAGGGTCAATCTCGATCCTTTTTCCTATCAAACCGTTGGGTGGACGGGCGGCGATGATGGAAAGAGGGAATTTAAAATCGCTTTGGGCCTGTCGATACAAAATGGATCGTCTGTTGGTGTTCGGAATGGAGATGTACGAGGGTTAATTGGAGCATGATTGAAGGTTAATTATATGAAATTGAAGCTATACAGCGCAAATTGAATGCAATTATAAAATAGTGGTTGGATCTCTCTCTCTCTCTCAGTCGTCACTCATCAACTCAGTCCCTTGAAGTGAATAGGCTTTGAGTGTGAAAATCGTACCCTCCAATTCAGTTGCCTGCGTGCCTTTGAAGAGGCCCTTCCATTTCCACCAAGCCTAATATCGGTTTTAAGAGCAGTGATTTCTTTTTTTATTCATTTATGTATGTATGTTCAATGGATAAGGTTTCCTCCTGTCATCAGGTCGCAATATGCGTGTGCGCATTTTCAATGGAACCAAATTCCTTCCCTTGCTTTTATTGAAAATTCTTAACTATACGCGAGAGCTTTCCAGGGCTTTAAGAGCGCTGACAAAGGGGCTTTTAAGTGCCAGATTTTCGATTCCCGCATAACCGTTATATAATATTCCCTGTAACAACGCATTTTATCTATTTGCTTATATTTTGTAGCAGGAAACTACTAGTAAACATTTTCGCACCAAATAAAATAATAAACTTATATATGTTGAAGTGCAAGTATATGCATACTTAGTTTAAAACATAATAATATGTGAACAGTTTTTTTTATTCAATTATATAATCAAATTTGCTGATTGAAATTTCGCGATTAAATTAATGTTAAATTTACTTTGATTTTCGTTTTTAAATCAACTAGTTATCAAAACTATAAGTAATTAATAATGATATTTTTCCGCTGACTATTGAAAGATTATTTAAAATACAGTGGAACCTCGCATAACGATCATTTCGCTTAAGAAGCAAAATAAATTGTAAGAAAAATTACTCACAAAATCGAATGCATTATCGTATATTACATTAGTTTATATAGAGAATATTGTTTCACTATACGAATAAAAATCCAGAAATTTTGAAACGGATTATGCTTGTTAAGCGAGGTTCTACTGTATTAAGTTTAATTACTTTGTCTCAATTCTGAAACCTATTAAAGATAAATGTCTAGAACATTACATATGTAAAAGGTAAGTATTATACCATACATTACAATAGTTTTGTACAAATATTATTCAAACCATAGGCTACAAAAACTTCTTGTTACATATAAGGTATTTTTCAAGAATTGCATAACAAATTAATTAATAATTCAATTTTGTCCATATTCAAAGTTATAATTAATCACATCTATATTAAATAATTTAAATAAATATTCAAGAAGATAGTTCAGGTAATTTAGTACAAAATTATTTAATTTTCGAGACGAAATGACAAAAAATATATGTTTTGACAAAGATATTTGGGAGGATTTTTGTTTGTTTGAAAAGGATTAATTTAATTTAAATTTTACATTTTTTTAATTATTTTTTGTGTTATTTTTTTTAATTTTATGAAATATATTTAATTAAACAAAACCAATATATAAATGACAAATTATAATCGTTCATAAAATAATACTTGAAATATTATGTCTGTTTACTTAATAACTTAATTAAAATAAATATGTATATATACGTAAGACATTACTTTAATATGTTGTAATGTACAAAACAATGATTTTGAAATAAAGAAACAAGTAGTAAAATATTTGACTTGCTTGATCATGGATTGAATACTAATAATAGTTTCCTTTCTCTTATATAAACTTCGCAATAGTTTAATAAGTGCGTTAAAAAATGCATTAAAATGTATGTAATATTACTATTATGAAATCAAATAATATTTGTTCTCTTTTAATATAAATGACTATGATTTCTTAATATTTCATATTATTTTTAAAATGTATCAAAAGATTGTGAACATAACGTTCAAACTATAAATAAATATTGCATAATAGAAAAGTATATAAGGTGATGTCTTGTTTTCTTTTTTATTATTCAACCACATATTTTTAGAGTACATGATAAAGTACACTTAAATACAAAATTACAACAAAAAAAAATGGTTATAGAAGTTAACTTATATAACGTTAAGGTGGCTACGCCGAACATCCATCGCTGTCGTTTCGAAAGAGCAACGTAAAGCTTGGAAAAAGGTCCGCATAAAAATAAATAATTGATGGCCCTTTTAAGGGCACAAAAAAGTGCAAGCAGTGCAATGATTACGGCATTTATTTATACATATTTCTCGTCTCGTCCAATACATGCTTGTCAAGTCGTAAAGATTAATATTGGATTACGGTGTCCGAAACTATTGACAATAAAGTTTTATTACGGAAACGCACAAATCCTGGCCTACCAGTGAACATTGATGTATTCCATTTCATTTGCGAATTTATGGATGGAATGCATCCAAATCATGAATCCCAACACCATCTGGGACCCGCATAAAATAAAAACGTCAACATTACTCTACGTGTGAGCCCGGATTGTCGACCAAATATAAATAATATTAATTAATTACCAACAAATGCACTTTAAATTTTCCACTCGCAGAATCAATACAAATGCAAACGTTTCACCAAATTCACGGAATGGACAATTACAATTAAACCAAAACGTTCAGTTTTCAGTACGATTTACCGTGCATCCACTTGAATAACACATGAGCAATTAATCAATTGATTTAAATGAACGTTTTAGTTGCAATTTTAAAAAACAGTCACAAAATATATAAAATAAATGTTATAAACAAAATTTTATAAAACTTTTGTATTTACTCTATAATTAAATTTTTATTAATATACAATAAAAATTGTTGAAAATAACAATAGAAGGATTAAGGCAATAAATGTATTATTTCTTATGTGTATTCCAATTGAAAACCAAACCGTCTTTATCTACTTATTACTAGAATTTTCTCATTTCCTTTAAACGACGGATCCTTCTCCCCTAAAGACATAATCCAACTTATGCTGTATTTAACGGATATTGCATTCAAAGTTAATCACTTCAAATCTTTTAAGCCGTCCTTAGAAATATCTTTATTACCTAAAGCATGTCATCCTCTGAATACAAAACTTTTAGTTATTATATGATGACCAGCAATGTTCTTTAATTTTTAGAATACCCTTATAACCAGAAACCAATTAGTTTTTAAGTGTTTCAGTTTTATTGATCAAATAATTGAATAATCTTTGCTGAATCCAAAAATTTAGTTATTATGTGATGATAAAAAAAACCGGTTATCTGTAAAAATATAACCGTTTTCTTCGTTTTATATTCGTAAGCTTTTTCTAAATATGCAATTGCAAAATATAAGAAATTTTAAAATTACAAATATGATAATGAATAAATTCAATTAACGTGATGATTATAGTAATAATTAATGACATATGATCAACAAATGAATGAGTTATTTTTTTTTATAACAATATTCCATATACTTATGGTTAACTTTTCTTGTGGTTTTTAAGTACTTCTTTATGTTAAGCTAATTTTGATAATAAACCAATTACCAGATACTTCTTTCAGATTTAAAATAAATGAAGCATACATAGATCTTAGAAAGGTGACCTGTACTCTTTACTAATAGATTGGCATTCAGAAGAACAAAAGTTTATTTTTGAACCCTTTGTTACCTGAACATAGAATAAAAAAATGTATTTCTTTTAAAACATTAAAATTAAGTTGTCTATAATTTTTTATTAAATTTGAGCAATAGTTTCATTAAAATTATGTGGTACTTTCTGGTATCCTTAGGCTATTTTAAACTTAAATCGGATAATAAGTGAATTATATTGATACATTATTTTTATATTACAAAAACACATGCAATTTTCATATATTTATTGTAATTCTGATACACAATTTTTCAAGTAACAAGTATTATTTGAATGTAAGTTTATACTCATTTAGTGCATAAGAAATATTGTTTTTATACAATATAGAGACTACTTTAAAGTATCAACAGGTATTTAGGTTTGTTTTTCTTCATTTAAATAGGGATATACTACTTAGCAGTACAATATTTATAATTATAAATAGCCATTAAAGATAAAAACCTCCAAAGTAATACAATTTCTGCTATTTAATTATGTCTAATGTAAAAATATAAAACTAGTAATTAAAAAAGTTATCAATAAGTCAGTTTTATAATTAAAACTAGATAACAGAATAAATTATAAGACAAATATTTCACAATAAAGCAGGAGATAGTAAAATTGGTCATTTAGTATATCTTAACGGCTTCGCTAAAGAATATCTTTGTCGTAAAGTGGATGAGGTCTTGAATTTAAATATTGTTGCAGACTTTCCGCATAGCTGATGCAACTTGTAGATGAGGCCAATTAAGTATCCCCGAAGAGCCCCGCGGAGTTTATTAAAAATGCCGTGCGTTTGTCCGTCGAGGAAAAATAACTTTACAAAGGAAAGAGCAAATAAAAAGAAAAGAAGTGTAAATATGCAAGTGGCATAACAAACATGTGTGTGTGTGTATGCATGCATGCGTGTGTTGCTGCTGCAAAGTCTCCGGGTATATTTATTAAACATCGCTTGTTTC